GGGGGGGGGGGGGGGGGGGGGAGAGGAATTCCCTCTTTTGGCGAGTCAGAAATAGCCCAAGCTTTCCAAAAGGATGTTAAAATTGGACATAATGGAGAAATACCTCCTTCAGGTTTTTTTTCCCCCCCTTTTTTTTTTTTCTTTTCCCTCTTCAGGTATGAGTCTTGAATCCTTTCATTAAACTGACACAGATTTCCAGAGATGGAGAAAAGGAGGGGTATCTGAGGTGGACATTTTATGTAAATGAGCAAATCCGAAATGTATTACAAATCCACTGTAATAAAACTGACAGTTTTGACAGTATTGACAACATAAATATATGTTGGAACACAGCACTTTCAGACACTTAACCGATGAAGCAATAAAAAGATTCGACTACAATATTTCAAATAATCGACATTGATGTTTTGATACATCATTTTTATACCTCGAATCGATCTATCACTCCATGACCGGTCAATTTTAAGTAAAAATCTGCTGCAATTATTTACGCTATTGCCAATGACGACCTAATAACTGTTTTCAATTAATTACAGCAAAACTAAGCATTATGAGGACTAACCGGCCGCATATTCCATTGTATGGCATTTCTTGTATGGAGAGCAAACACGTATATGCATATTGCATTCTCTTTGTGGGATCAAAAGAAAGACATACAAAGACGATCACAATCTTGGGGGGGTGGTGGTGGAAATAAAAAGCAACCTCTTTTCGGGAACACACCGCCGGCTCTCACCACGTACTTCTAGGAAACACGCTATAATATTTTGTCAGCTCTCTCTCTGTGCAATACCAAACGGGGCTCTCAAGATTTTTTTTTTTCCTTTTCTCTTTGGGCTGTGCGCTGAATCCCACTTCAAACAATGGGCCGAGCAGTTTCTTGAAAAAAAAAAAAAAAAAAGGGAATTTCGTGCTTCGAGTGATTGCTTGTGTGTTGTGAGAGTCTCCGGATCATTTCAAAAGAGGTAGGAGTATATTGTTCTCTCCGGACCGAGAACTCCAGTGTAAAAATGAGAGCGCTCCTCTTCTGGAGTTTTATAGGCAGCTGGAGAACAAAAGGGGATATTTTGAGTGAGCTGGAGCAGAGCTCTGAGCAGAGTTTGAAGCCTTTGCAGATTCTCTGGTATCACACTAAAGCCATTAGTTTGCCCTAACTGTCCCTTTGGTTTCCATGTCATTCTGGAAAGATTGATTATTTTTTTTTTTCACGCTTCGGGCTTCTTCAAACAATTGCAAACTAGATTTTTAACTACCCAGTGCAAGCAGTGTTAGTGGGAAGCCCTGACAGGTTTGTGGTTGTTTTCTTCCTTTTTTATTTTTTTTTCCTCTGGTGTGTGATGGAAATACATTTGTCGACTGTTTATGGTCCCCACTTTTATGAACGTTCCAGCCTAAATAAAATAGAATCTAAAAAACAAATAAAAAAAAATAAATTAAAAAAAATTCTCATCTCTTCTCTTACTTTAGCGCTTCAAACCCACCCGTGTGTACAAACCGAACAAACGCGAAGGGGTTCATGTTCTATGCTCCTTCCCGGGGCGGGTTTCGCCCCTTAGGGATGGAAGGCGGGCCTGGCCACAGCAGTGTCCCGGGGGAGCCGCTGAGCCGGGGCCGAGGGCCCTGCGGCCGCCGAGCGAGCCCCGCGGCCGGCTCGGCTCCGCTGGGCTTGGAGCCCCGCCAGATAGCGCTAGAGGGCTGCTGATGGAGCGCCGGCTGCAGCCCCGCGGCCCGGGCAGCCAGCGGGGAAACGGGGGCGCCGCGGCAGAGCGACCCCGCACCGCTCGTGTTTCGTCCAGAGTTGGGGGTTTTCCCTCTAAAAAAAAAAAAAAAAAAAAAAAAAAAGAGGGCGGAGAGGTGGAAGAAAAAGTAAAAGGAGAAGTTAAGAGGTAAGTAAATGAACCTCTTCCTAATCCAGCTCCTAAAGATCTCAGTCATGCCGCAGTCGAGGTCAAGAAAAGTTCACCGTGATGGGCTACCATTGACTTTCAGGACTAGAAAGATGTTCGACAAATAATAATACATTTCTGAAAAGCGAAGTACACTCCTGGCAGACGGGAGGATCAGGGTGAGGAGCTAAATGAACCCAGTGATCTGCAGAAGCTAAAACGTGCATGATTTCACAGGGGCACCCGAGATGGGACCTCGAAAGTCTTGCAGCTGCGGGAAGTCGGAGACGAATCAAAGAGTGCTGAGACGAATAAAAAGTGACTGAAGTTGTAAAAAGCAACCGTGAGGGCAAAGGAGAGTGTGGTAAAGAGCGGGTTTGGGGCTAGGAATTTAACTGTGGCACAATCCTGATTATAAAAAGAGAAAGGTATTAAACTCCACACTTCGCCTTGCAAGCAAACAAAAAGTAAAATTCACGTGAATTTCACTACAGTGTCACGGTGATGTCCCGCGTCCACATTTTAACAGGCAGATTGCTTTCTTCATTAATTATGATGCATTGCCTAGAATGATAGTTCGAGATAAAAAGCCAGTTCGAATATGCTGAATTTTTCACCGTGTTCCATGATATCCCTGACCCGTCTAAGAGGAGTTTTGCTTTCAAATGCAGTCTACGTGTTACCGAACACAATGGCATCATCCAAAATACTTGAACTCAGCACACAAACAAACAAACATTGAATAAAGTTACAAACAAGATTAAGGTTCAAGTTATTTGTCCCTGTAGCAAGGCGTCAATTGTCCTAACAGATGTAGTGACGTTAAGAGGATTTAAACCATGCGAATTTAATAAACCAGATTAGCAATAGGTGCTTTCCACAAATGCTAAGAACCGGAAAGTAAATCTAGCCTAAATTACCCATCGGACGGGAGGATCACCTACAAGGAGAGCTCAAAATTTCCTACAAGGTCCAATAGGATTTTGTGCAAGCATGACTTGTTTCCCCCTAAAAACTTTCTATTTGCATTAAATCTTGTGCTAGGAGCACACGCGCGTGCAAAACAGCGG